TTGCAATAGTGCAAGATCCAGCCCTAAATAAGAAGAGACAACTTATTTTTCACTTTAAATAAGAGAACCATCTTTCTGAGTCATGTATTAGATATGAAGGCTTAGTACATTCTAACTGTTCACTGTAATAATCACGGGTGATTATTTAACCTAAATGTCTGGATTTATCAAAGTATACAACATCATCGTACAGAGAATTAAGCTACTAACTACACAGCCAAACATTCCTTTTTTTTTTTTTTAAGACGGTCATTTTACAAAGAACTTTAAAATGTTACAAATGTAATGAAATATCAAATTAAAATTTAAGCACTATCCAAGAAGGACTCACATGACACTTGCCACATTCAACATACAGACAAAAAGAAGCATGTCATCAACATAGGGATCCTTTTCTTTGTTTCTAGATAGAGGGTTGCTAATAGGAGATTAATTTTCTAACAGCCAAGTAATTAGTTTCCTTTTCTCACTGCAGTACTATTTGCCATTTGGTCTCAAAGAAACTGCATACGTACAAGCAAACAATGAAAATGTACACTGTTTCTTCTTTTTAAGAAATTCTAGTTTTACTGACATTTAAAATATCCCAAATTAACTATTCCTTCTCTGTGAAAGCAACACAAGGAAAGAACGTTAACAATATTAAAAAACAGATTCAGAGATACTGTATATACTATTTCTTGAAAGATATTGGTCTTATTCCCTCTTCTACTGTCAGGTTGACAAAACATTGCCAATGCGGATTCAAAAAAGTAGTTTCCGTGTGATTATCTATAGCAAGTATTCATAAATATTTATTCATTCCCCGACTCTGAATTCTTCAGAGCTGCATATTTAGTACCTTGGAGGGCAGAGGGTAAATTTTCATATGACTTAGTTACCTTGACATCTTTAGTTCTATTATGTTTTGTTTTTTAAATAAAAAGGACCTTTTTCACTCCATTACGATACATAAACGATGCTTTAAAGGAATTTTTTGAGGAAAAAGGTGGTCAGGATTATTTGCTTTTGTCTTCACATATTAGCCATGTCAGTCTTGTTTTGCTGAATACCTCACTTGGAGAACTTAATGTTGACTGTGTACACCTTAGTAGGATGGGAGGGGGGAATTGTTGAATTTTTGACTGCGATATCTTTCCTCCTGTTACTTGAGTTTTAATATATAAAAACATTTTTGTGCTAATAGCCTTATTAAAACCAGTTCCTCTTTTAATCAAGTTTTCCCTGATCTCTCTGACATCATAGTCTAGTTCTTCATAGAATCTTCCAGGGGAAAAGAAGATAGAAATTGAGGTATTTTCCAATACAAAAACAAGCAGCAAAAACAAAAACGCCTTCTTTCTGCAGTAAAGATGTACAAAGAGCATAGATCTATTTTTCATTTTTCTTTTCAGGTTACTTTTGAAACAAGCTATTTGTTGTGTACTGAACTCTGCTTGCATTTTGAATAAAAAACAGGACTATGTAGCACTTTCTACTTTCTAATATACAGGCAGTCCCCGGGTTACGTACAAGATAGGGACTGTAGGTTTGTTCTTCAGTTGAATCTGTATGTAAGTCGGAACGGGCGTCCAGATTCAGCCACTGTTGAAACTGATCAGTTTCAACAGTGGCTGAATCTGGACGCCCGTTCCGACTTACATACAGATTCAACTGAAGAACCCCAGGCATCCCCAAGTCAGCTGCTGCTGAAACTGATCAGCGGCTGATTCCAGGAAGCCGGGGGCAGGGGCTTCCTGTAGTCAGCCACTGGTCATTTTCAGCAGCTGCTGACTAGGGGACACCTGGGGCAGAGCAGCTGGGGTGCTGCTGGGTTGGTCCAGTGGCACCCAGAGCGGCGCTACGGGACCAAACGGCAGCGCCCCAGCTGCTGTACCACAGGCGTCAGGAGCAAAGCCGCGGAGCCCGGGGGCAGCAGGATAGCCACGGCGTGTCTGGGCTGTCCCGCTGCCCCCGTGCTCCGCGGCTTTGCTCCTGACGCCTGTGGTACAGCAGCTGGGGCGCTGCCGTTTGGTCCCGTAGCGCCGCTCTGGGTGCCACTGGACCAACCCAGCAGCACCCCAGCTGCTCTGCCCCAGGTGTCCCCTAGTCAGCAGCTGCTGAAAATGACCAGTGGCTGACTACAGGAAGCCCCTGCCCCGGGCTTCCTGGAATCAGCCGCTGATCAGTTTCAGCAGCGGCTGAATCTGGACGCCCGTTCCGACTTACATACAGATTCAACTGAAGAACCCCAGGCATCCCCAAGTCAGCTGCTGCTGAAACTGATCAGCGGCTGATTCCAGGAAGCCGGGGGCAGGGGCTTCCTGTAGTCAGCCACTGGTCATTTTCAGCAGCTGCTGACTAGGGGACACCTGGGGCAGAGCAGCTGGGGTGCTGCTGGGTTGGTCCAGTGGCACCCAGAGCGGCGCTACGGGACCAAACGGCAGCGCCCCAGCTGCTGTACCACAGGCGTCAGGAGCAAAGCCGCGGAGCCCGGGGGCAGCAGGATAGCCACGGCGTGTCTGGGCTGTCCCGCTGCCCCCGTGCTCCGCGGCTTTGCTCCTGACGCCTGTGGTACAGCAGCTGGGGCGCTGCCGTTTGGTCCCGTAGCGCCGCTCTGGGTGCCACTGGACCAACCCAGCAGCACCCCAGCTGCTCTGCCCCAGGTGTCCCCTAGTCAGCAGCTGCTGAAAATGACCAGTGGCTGACTACAGGAAGCCCCTGCCCCGGGCTTCCTGGAATCAGCCGCTGATCAGTTTCAGCAGCGGCTGAATCTGGACGCCCGTTCCGACTTACATACAGATTCAACTGAAGAACCCCAGGCATCCCCAAGTCAGCTGCTGCTGAAACTGATCAGTTTCAACAGTGGCTGAATCTGGACGCCCGTTCCGACTTACATACAGATTCAACTGAAGAACAAACCTACAGTCCCTATCTTGTACGTAACCCGGGGACTGCCTGTATACCAAATTCCTTTTTTCCCCAAGAAAGAAAAGTATCTGGCATGGCATCTTCCATATTCATAAAAATGCAGCTCTTCATTTAGGGAAAATGGCCAATAAACTGTGGTAGAACACCACACACACCATTTAGATCTTACATTGTGCTTTCCACGTGTAGGTCTCAAAGCAAAGTGGTTTCTATCATCATCCCCTTTCTACAAATGGGCAGAGATGCAGAGAGGTGATGCAACTTTCTCAAGGTTACACAGTGAGAGAAAGGCACAGCAAAGAACAGAAATCAGAATGCCTGGTTTCAAGTTCTATACCCAGTCCACAGGACCACACTTCCTCCCATTCACACTCAGGGATCAATGCAGCAAAGTCCAGAGCATTGTGATCATTATCCTGCAAAGAACATAAGTACTTGCATAACTAAGCATATCAGCAATCCCATTGAAATAAAGTTAAACATGGTTAGGTATTTTGCAGGACCAAGACCTCAATGCTCAACACTAGAGGTAGGCAAAAAAAATGGCAGCAAAAACCAAAGTTTTCTTTTTTTGTTTAAAATGTGAGGAAATTCTGAACAATTATTTATTTGCAAAAAAAATTAATTTTGCTGGGAGGGAGGGAAGCTTTGAAAAAAAATGTTGATCAGAGGCAAATATGATCTGGTCTCCTAGAGTCGAGACCAGGGGTGGGCAATAAAAATACGATGTCCTTCCAGGGTTAATCCCTGGTGGAGCACCACTGCTATATTTACCTGCACCTCAGCATGTATCGGGCATTCACAGCTCTTGTTGCCTGCGAATTGCCATTCATGGCCAAATGGAACAGTGGCAATCAGTGTCCCAGTCCGTGCCCCTTCCCACCACTCCAATTGGTTGAGAACAGCGATCTGCAGGCAATAAGAGCTGCAACCACCCGATACCTGCAGAGGCACAGGTAAATACAGAAGTGGGGGCTTGCCAGAAATTAGCCCTGCAGACTGCATCCAGCCTGCAGGCCAGAATTTGCCCATCTCTGTCCTAGACTATAGAACGGATCACTATGAGACCAGGGTTGGAGTTTTGGTGTGGCAGACGTAAGTTCAGAGCAAAAGAAGAAACAGGATGGAAATTAAAAAAAAAAAAAAAAAAAACTAACTTGGACAGAGACAGATTTTGTCACTGGGGATAGGGAGCAGGACTTCAGAGCCTGAGCATCAAATATGACACTTCCAGAGTCACTGGCTGAGGTTTCAAAACTAACTCAGGGATTTAATGATTAAGAATTTCCACTGAAAGGCTGCAGAACCATCAGCTGATTCCAATGGAAGTAGCATGGCTAAACCCGAGTCATTTTGGGGATTACCAGCGATTCTGAGATCCTCAATGTTTTACTTATTACTTTAAGAGGTCCAGTCTTGTAGTTGTGACTGGTCCATATGAAGTCCAGGGGAGTTTCAACTTCATCATGCCTATGGGATCGGGCACATCTATAATTTTTATTTCTATTAAAATGGATGGAAAATCTGGGAGGAAAGACTGATTTCAAATGTATTTTTTGTATTGCATGCCTACGTTCACAAGGTCTTTTTAGATTTTTTTTAAATCATAAATATGCATTTGGTAAATTGGTTCTGACAAATGAGATTCATAGTTAGGGGAAGCAAGTCTTCCCATGACATGTTTGAATGGTTTACATTTTCTACATTCTCTCTTGCTCTACATTCACATTTTAAGCACTTTTACACTGGGCGCTGCTGCGACCAAGGTTAAAAACATGTTAAAAAATATGTCTAAGGTAGACAAGGCTAGGCTGTGTAACTGTTAGTTTTTAAATTTACAATCCATGTATTCAAGCCACAAGGCCAAGCAGGAACTTGCTGCTACATCACTGAGGAATGTGTTTGTCTCACAATAATCATATGCATCGCTGTATGTTATTCTTCACCTCTAGTGTATAGTTAGCCTTCAGCTGCTACAAGAGACAACAAAAATCCTCTCAATGTACTTTGACTCACTGGAAGTCTTTGTCTACTTACTTCAGCTATCTAGTACATTAGGTGTTTAAGGAAACATATTGCAGAGTACAAACCTCCTCTTTTGTTTTCTTGTTTGCTGCTCTAAGATCTTCATATTCACCAATAGCTACAAAAAAAAAGAATTAAAAAACAATATTAACATAGTATAATAGTACTCTCATGAGTTGTTCCATGAACAGAAATCCAACTGACTTCCATAGTCATTCATTTTAAAGCTGTCAAAGTTATCTAATCTGACCTCCTATGTAACACAGTTTAGAGAACTTTACCTAATAACTCTTGTCTTAAACCCAATAATGTGTGGTTGAATTAAACCAACTCATCAGACTTCAGGAACCTATGGAGCATCAGGGTCTTAAAAATCAGCTTCTTCAACCAACAGTGAGCTAGACAGACTCATACTAACAAGCTTCAGAGGGGTAGCAGAGTTAGTCTATAAAAGGAAAAACTTAAAAAACAACAAATAGTCTAGTAGCACCTTAAAGACTAACAAAACACGTAGATGGTATCATAAGCTTTCATGGGCAAAACCCACTTCTTCAGATGACCAGAGTATAGTAAGTCCAGAACCAAGAATAAATAAGGGAAGGGGGTGGGGGAAGAGAAAAAGAGGAGGGGAGGAAGAAAAAGAGAGCAGAATGTACAAACAGTTACAAGAGGCTATTAAGAACCATTAGCATCTCCATTGTTTGGTTGGTTGTTTAAGTCATTAAAAGGTGGAAGATAGTCTGAACTCAATAGAGGATGGCTATTAGCATAAAAATTAAACTTATGTGAATCAAGTTGTGTGAATGAAGTTAAGTTCCAATCCTTCTCTGTGTATTTGGCTTGTGGAATTGGTCTAAAACAAAACAGAAACTTGGAGCTCCATTAATGAGTGTCCGGGAAGATTAAAGTGTTCTCCAACAAGTTTAGTTTTAAATCCAAATTAGAACAGATTAGAGATCAGATACTGCCTTAGGACTGGTGACTCAAAGTATCTAAAATACTTTTACGACTCCTCCCCATTACTGTAATCTCTGAGTACTTCACAATTTTTAACATATTTATCTTCACAATACATTCACAGATGGGGAATAGAGTTATAGAATGCCTTAACTTCCATTGATTTAAATTGGGAGTTGGACATAAATAACTTTACAAATCTGATCCATAGTGACTTGCCCATGGTCAAAAAGTCAGTGGAAAAGGAGGGCATGGAATCTGATCTTCAGTGTCTCAAGACAGAGTCCAAACCACTAGAATCAACCATCTTTTAATTTATACATCTCTTTCTATATATATAAAAAAGTTTTTCCTGCTGGATGACTGAGTGATGTCATCATGTCACTCTCTGTCCCACAGCCCCTCCCCCCCTCAGCCACCTCTCTACCTCCCTTCCTGGTGCCGAGGGCCCAACTTCCCTGGTGCTGGGGCGAGCGGCAGCCACACAGCTTTCCCAGTCTCCCCAGAACCCTGGGGTGCAGGCAGGCAGCCACCTGGCTTCCCCAGTGCTCTGGGGAGCGGCTGGGAGTCGTGTCCCCTCCTCCCTCATGGGGAGGAAGAGATCCAGGAGCCACAAGGGGTGAGAGGAGCAATGAGGCAGGCCTCAGCCCTCATCCCCAGCAGCCAGGTGCAGGGAGCAAAGAGGCAGGGCCAGGGTGAATTCAGCCTCGGAGATAGGGAGTAGGCCGGGGAGGGAGGGGGGGTTAGGGTTAGAGTTAGAGAGCCTAATTCGAACTACCTACTCCGTACCACGTGTAGCCGCAGACACGGAGTCCGCACTAACGGGGATTTAAAAATGGCGGCGCCCAGCAAGATGCAAATGAAGCCTGGGATATTTAAATTCCAGGCTTCATTTGCAACTTCGAATGCCTACATTAGCCACCCTAGTTCGAACTAGGGTGGCAGTGCAAACATACCCATAATTTGTCGACTGCCCCGGAAAGCCTCATTTCACGAGGCATACCAGGGCGGTCGATAAAGGTTTCCCTTGTCGACCACGGTGCATCCAGACTGCCCTGATGTGCCACCAAACAGCTGATCGGCACAGTGCGGTGGCCATTTTGATATAAATGAAGCAGCGATTATTTAAATCGCCGCTTCATTTTCCTATGTCTAGTAAACTCATCTACATGGCTTCATCGACAGAGCCATGTAGTCTAGACATACCCTAACTGTCAGAGTCATCACCTCACACACAACAGGGATACATTACATATCTCACAGATACTGTCATTCTACTTCCAGTTACACTGATGTAAATCAAGATTAACTATTAAAGTCAATGGATTTAAGTTAGTGTAAAAATCAGTGAGACTGGTGCATACCAATGTTCCATTTAATCTTTTCCATCCACGTGCAGAATAATTTTTTATGTGCACCCAAAGCATGTGTAAGCATGCCCCACCAGTAGAAACAAAAAAAAAACCCTAGCTGTGGTCAGTCTGCTAATCAGGTGGGCGGCATTTGAACCTCCCCTGGGTGGTCTCACAAACCCACAGATTACAGGGGACCCTGGTGCCTACTATTCCTGCTAGCTGTTTGCGGACTCTGGAACATGACTGCTTTTGTTCAAGTCTGCAAAAATCCCATGGGGCCATAAAAAGAGTGCTGATATGCTGGCCCATCTGCTGAAAACACCTATGTAACTGTATTATCATTATTATTAAATTAAAATCTTCAATGTACTTTGTTCACTGATACGATGTTCATTTGGTCCCAAGTCAATTGCTCCCAATGGGTCCCCCAGGAAACTTATATTAATGACGTTCTGGTATGCTGAAGTTCAGCAAACAACTAAAGCAAAAGATGAAAATATAAATGTGGTGGTCACTGTTTCGCTGATAAGATACAAAGATGCATTTTCCCCGGAGCTGAATCTGCTACCAGCAGACCATTATTTGATGTTAATTTATTACAAAATGCTAAAAGATGACTTACTGCTGGAACAATAACATAAAAGCAGAAGTTTGCAATGATGAAGTTTGCTTTACAGCGAACACTAGACAGACACGTCTATATGTATTACATGAAGTGCTCTAGTAGTGCTCTTGATATTACCCTTTTTGGCAGTTGCATATAACCTTTTTGAAATGAACATCTTTTGAGCCAAAAGTCTCATGCTTAAATTCAACCTACAGGTGTAATATTTTCAGTTTTAGCAAACTCCATTCAGTTGATTCTGATGTTTAAGGATGTCATATGAAAACTTATACATGGAGTAAAACAAAAATCATAAGCCATATATACTGTTAATGCAACTTATAACATTTCTTGGAGAGACAGCTTACAAGACGTACCATTGAACAATTGTAACAGCGTCAAATACACAAGACAACAAATAGCCTACTTAAGTGTATTGTGCATGCATAATCATAAAAACATAGAAGTTATACAGGAAGCCTAAGCCAATGAAAATCTTCTAATAGGGTAAGTATACAATCACATATTAATATTACACACAAAAAAACATTGAAAATGTTAAGGTTGCGAAGATGCTCAAGATGACCAATTTAAGGATACACTGGCAACCTTTATATCAGCATTTCCTTACTTATTTGACTTGCACCTTACATTCCATTAGTATATGTTTGGTATGTAATTTTTCAGATTTAATGAAACAAATCAAACAAACAAATTATATCATGTAGAACCATACTGACTCTCTCAAAGCTCATCAGCAGAGTTAGACCTCTCAGGTCCACACAGCAGACCTCTGTCACATGAACTAACAAACTGATAGCAACAGCAGGCTGTGGCTTTCTGTGTGGGCCAGCACTGTCCGGGGGATGAGACCCTTTGGCAGTACATTTCACCGCTATTTCCTCATAGAAATGGAATAGAGAGGTGCAGGATTCCTGGGTTCTATTCCAGTTTGAGAAAAGTGTGCTCAAGTGGTTACAGGCCATTCTGTACATCCCTCTCTCTACCTGCCCCCAACCTGTCTTCATCCCAGTCTCTGCTCCCCCACCAGCACCCTGCTCAAGCCTGGCTTCTCACGGATCTGAATTCAAGTCAGCCTATTTTCTCCTTGCAGCCTGAGCACTAGTATGGGAATTAAAGGGGGCAGAGAAGACAGTCTCCCTCAGTTCCTGTGCCTGATGAATGAAGAAGCAACTGCAGGAAGAAGTCTGCTCAGTCCCTGCAGCCTCAGCATGGAGAACCCAATACCAATGGAATCTTCAAGAACTCTACCTGGCAAACTCCAACAAGTCTCTTCTGAGCATGTGTGAACTGCAATTTTCAGAGACTTGTTAGTTGACCAGATTCAGGTGGATTTTCACAGGGACAGCAAAACAAAAAAACCCACCGCTCTGAAACCCCAACTAACTGTACCACCCTACACTGCCAAATTTCAAGTCCCTGTTCCAGACCGTGGAGGCACAAAAGCTTTAAAATGAAATCACTTGTGCAAGAGGGGAGGCAGGGGAGTCTAAATGGACAAATCATGTTTTTCCTTTGAAAAGGAAAACTGAAAAAAATTTGCTGAAATTTTCCAAAAAATCAGCCAAAGGCAGACACCTGGTATTAAATTCCAGTTCATTTGTTTTAGTCTTCACAAATAGCAACAACAGGATCTAATCATGGAAACTACTGGGCAACATTAACAATAGGTGGCAGTGACCAAAACCACCTAAAATCACAAGCTACAATGTTTGTGTTTCTAATGTTTCACATTTCCCAACTTGCAAACATTCAAGTAGCTTCAGTGTTACATTTGTGTACATTTTTGTATTTTTATTTTAAAGAGATCTGAGTAACCTCCAGAGAATATGGTTGAGTGTCCTTCCATGTCAAATCAACCAAAGACTCCACTTAATCAGTGTTACTGGGTTGAAATGGTCATTTAATCACTTTGTAAATAGAGCTGTCAAGGAAAGCAAAGCTCAGTCCATCATCTACTCCTCCAGATGAATACCTAATTTATATCAGAAAAGTCTTGCAGCAGCTCTAGCATACACTGGCATGAGTGCTTTTGCCAGTACAGCTTAAACTGTTTCCCTGAATGAAATAAGCTACACTGGCGAAAGCACTTTGGCCAGTATAAGATTATGAATGTATAAATGTGAAAACCGTTAACCAATAAGCCTAGCCTTATCAATAACATTCACCATTACACACAGG